CGTGGAGTTTAAAATAAGTCTCAATTTTCGGAAAGAATACACGATGGGATAAAGTGAAGGGAACATCAGGTTTTCGGTAGCCATGGGGCTATTATGTCAAGACATCATCCTTGTAAGACCAATATTTTCTATGTGCAAAAAGTATAACTTTGAGATATTTTTATTTGGAAATATTCTGGCTGATGCACATAGCATATTTTTTTAGCTACCACTGTTTCACCGTATAATGCTTAGAATCATATGGAAGTTTTTCTATACTAAAATTTGCTACGCTACATGTCGAAATCTCCAAAGTTTTCAATAAGCACATATTGGTTTGACAATGACGAATGAATTTGTTATTAGTTTTATTAATATTGTAATGTTAAGTACATAGATTGTTTAGAAGAGCGCGGATGAGACATTATACAATGATATAATACATTTTCATTGGGTTATATTAACATTTAATTGGAATGATATGTAAAAATCCTTCGATCATATTACTCAAAATTTCCCATATATTAATACTTTCGAAAATGATTATTTTAAAGAGCTATCATTATTTAAAAAATACATTTATAAGAAAATGTTAAATCTTGGGCATCAGCAAAAACCATAATAGAGAAAAATGATTAGAAATATTCCCTAACTTTGAAACAAACCATGTTCCATACAATAAGGCACTAAAAATTGTGAAACACATGCTGTCCTTACCAAGAACTTCTTTCTACGGTAAATAAAGTATGCACATCAGAAAACCCGTCACTAAGTGATAAGACTTTGAAAGCCACTTTATGTAGGAAATACAGTTCAACATATTCTTGTGAAAAATTTCATGACATTTTAAACTACGACAGGAATCTAGTAAAAATTTTACACAAATAGCAAATATACTAAAGAAGGAAATAGTACTATTTCATAGTATTATTTTATTCTTTGTATAGTAACTATACATAATTTTCTTAATGTATTGTATTTGTAAAATGTACTTATGTTGAAATTTAAATATACATTTTATTTGTAAAAAAATAAAAATTAAAAAATAACGATGCACTAAGAAGAAGTAGTCCGATTGTAATGAAATTTCGTACGCAAGAACATTTATACCGAACCTGCAAATGATTAAAATTTGGTGGTCCAATGAATGATTAGCGGGAGCTATAGCGCATCGGAACTGCACAGTCTGCAGGTAAGTAAGAGACGATTTTGTCTGTAAGAGACGATTTTCAATTCAATAATCGAAATTTTTGTTGCATTTTGATGTAGAATACATTTCAACGATTGAGAAAATGCCTCGCAAGCATCATTTAGTGATAAGTAGCGGAGTTTTGTATTCAGCTATGAGAAAAAAAATGGAATTAAGAAGATTTTGATGGGTTTATGAACATACCACTAAAAAGAATTAAGTATACATATTTTTGTCTCGTGTTCCTCCTACGTGCTGATGGATATAGGCCTAATCTTCAATATAATACTGTTTCTTCTATAATATCGAAAATTTCTGTTGCACGGAGAATGTGGATTCATAAAGCATTGTTTAACCCTAATTCAGTGTGGCACACAGCTTTTGAAATTATATTAGGTCTCCATATCAATCCAACGACTCTTTCGTTATTTTCAATTTTAAAAGATCTACACGTGTGTGTCTGATTCTTGTAATTTCTGTTTTTATCACATTTCAGTAAGATATTGTTTTGCCCCATTTATTTTACTTATATTTTGGTTAGTTTTGATTTGCTTTTTTTTAAATTCAGTTTAATTCATTCTTAGCTTTGTAGGAATTACAACTTTTCTTTTATTATTTTATTTTATTATATTATACTATATATATTTAGTATACATGGTAATAGCGCTGCAATGTTAAGAAAGAGAGGGTATTGGCTTTTGAAGAAATTTTATTCTCAAGGTATTTTCAGCAATTTTAAAAACAATTAACAAATTATGCATAACTTTTATTTCATTTTATAAGCAAAACTATTAAATATAGTATATAGTACACCTTTTTAAATGTATTTTTATAAACATACTAAATTTAAAAGATTTTATTAGCTTTAAAATGAAATACTCAATTTATATTTTATGAAATATTTGCTTCACCACAATAATCTATTATAATTTTTATTTGTTTTTCAAAAACAATGCTTTATTCATTTTTTGCGTCACTATATTTCATTTTTATGTACATTCTGACCAGCAATTTTCAATTAATTTATGAATAACTGGAAAATATCCTTAAATAATAGAACTATTTTGAATAGGAATATAAATGAATTGCAAATAAGATATATTTTGTTTTTCCAATGCTTTAATAGGGAGAAAACAATAATAAACCATTTATATTGGTATACTTATATTAAAACTTTAAATATACACTCTATAACAAAGAAAAAAAAACGACGCACCAAGAAGGAGTTGCCTGACTGTAATGAAATTTCGTATGCAAAGACATTTGTTCCGAACATAGAAATGATTAAAATTTGGTGTCCAATGGATGAATATCGGGAGCTACAGTGCATCGAAACTGCGCACTCAGCAGATATGTGTCAGAGACGATTCTCAATCTGAGGGTCAAAATTTCTGCTGTATTGCGATTTAGGAAACATTTCAACAACTGAAAAAAATGTATCACTTCAGGATTCGAGCTCATTACGAGCAACTGTCAGTGTTTGAAAGAGGTCGTATCATTGGATTAAAAGAGGCAGGCTGGTCAAATCGGAGAATCGCTCGTCATATGTTTCGAAGCGATGTGTCCATTAGAAGATGCTGCCAAGAATGGGTGGACAGTGGCAGATTTCAGCGTCAAAATGGTAGCGGACGACCTAGGGCCACAGCAGATCAAGAGGACAGATAGATTGTCAGATCAGCAGTCACAGCCCCTGATTCATTGTTATCAAGCATCAGACGTGCGACTCGCACACAAGTGTAAACCACGACACCTCCCAGATGGTTTATAGAGCAAAATTTAAGCTCGCACCGACCACTACGCTACCTGCCACTTACACCTGCACACTGTTGAGCCAGATTACAGTGGTGCTTTACAGTGGAATCATACTGACTGGAGACGTATAGTGTAAAGCGACGACTCCCGCTTCCAACTGTGTCCTGATGATCCTCGAAGAAGACATGTCTAGAGACACACAGGTCAGCGCCCCAATCCTGCTTTTACTATCCCACGCCACACAAGCCCTCAACCAGCAGTTATTGTCTGAAGTGTCATTTCTTTTGACAGCCGGACTTCTTTGGTCGTCATTAGAGGCACACTTACAGCACAGTGGTACGTCAACGATATTCTGAGAACTAATTTGCTACCGTTCCTTTTGCAGTTGCCTGGCCTTTTTTTCCAGCAAAATAATGTCAGACCATATACGGCACGTGGTACTATGAACTGTCTCACAGCTTGTCAAACACTTCCATGGCCATCCAGATTGCCAGATCTCTCTCCAATCAAGCATGTTTCGGATGTGATGTGAAGGAATCTTGATGACCTGGCCCGACAATCGGAGCAAATTTGGCAAGAAATATTGCAGGAGACCATTAGAGTACCTTATCATTCTATGCCATGTCGTGTGGCAGTTTGCATCCAGGCTGTAGGTGGGTTCTTATTGAGCTCGTTACTTTGTAACTATGTAACTCTGAAATGAATCATTCAATTTTTCTGAAATTTTAATCTGCTTCTATTCTGCACATAATATTTTCATCCACCAGTTTCTTTCTCTGTCTGGCAACTTGTTCTTAGTGCGTCGTTTTTTTTGTTATAGAGTATATATATATATATATATATATATATATATATATATATATATATAT